TGATGGTGATGATGATGATGATGGTGATGATGATGATGATGGTGATGATGATGATGATTATGATAATAATAATAATAATAATAATGATAATAATAATAATAATAATAATAATAATAACAACAATAATAATACTTTTATTATTATTATAATACCTTTCACTTATATATTATATGGCATTTGCACTAAGAAAGTGTTCAATGTGCTGTATAACACTATAAAGAACTTGAGCACCATACGGTTCAAATACCAACAATTTCTCTGTTTCTTTTACCCTACCCCCACCCCGCCCCACACCCCTCTTCTGTCTGTCTGTCTGTCTGTCTGTCTGTCTGTCTGTCTGTCTGTCTGTCTGTCTGTCTGTCTGTCTGTCTGTCTGTCTCTCTGTCTCTCTCTCTCTCTCTCTCTCTCTCTCTCTCTCTCTCTCTCTCTCTCTCTCTCTCTCAGAAGATCAGTGCCGACTGACACAGTTCAACGTGAACAGCTACTACGACACGTCTCTCAGAGGTCAGCAGTACTGGGGAGACTCCACACAACAAATCGTGACTATGGACTCCGGCACCTCAGAACCTGTCAATAGCGTGAACATAACGTTCTCCAAAGTGAACAGATGTGGAGAATTGTTCAATATCATCACTTTGTGTGAAGTGGAAATCTACGGAGGTAAGAAGGTTACATAAGGCGAATAATACTTTCACAGTTGCCGACAGCTGACAGACACAGAGGCGGAAATCCTTTGACAAGGTTGTAAATTATAATAACCAATGTATTTTTACATAATCATTCGAAAATTGTTTTTTCCTTTATGTAGGACAGGTTATTAAGTGTTATTAAAGGGTAAGCAAGTTATTTATGGAAATGGAAGAGAAGAGTGTTTTATTTGTTTGTGTGTGTGTGTGTGTGTGTGTGTGTGTGTGTGTGTGTGTGTGTGTGTGTGTGAGTGTGTGTTGTGCGAAGCTGAGGATCTGGCTGGCTGGAGAGTGGGGGTGGGGGCCAAGGGTTTTTTTTTCAGAGAGAAGAAGGGAAGGCGGGTAAAGTTTCTTGTTCGTAAACTGAAAAGAGGAAGTGTTGAGCTCTTTCTGATTACACATTTAGAACTAGGCCTACATAGAAATAACAACAATCGTTTATAGTGCTGAAAGAAGCCAGCGCCGTAGAGCCATTAATGAAAACACTTAGGAAGAGACAAATGCAGATCCAAGGACACTTGATTCAACATAAAGGCTTTAACATCTTGCCCTCCCTGAAACAACAGAAGACAAAAAAGGGTAGAGGTAGGCCAAGAAAAACTACATGGAGAACCTGTAGAGATGAGTGACCAGGATGGTAAAGACTTGTGGAGAGCATCCTAGCAGAGAAATGAATGGGGAACCTTGACTGGTAATCTTACCTTTTTCCTTCAGCAAATGGCCCTAGGCACTTCAGTGAAATTTTCAAACTTCTCCAAGGGCACTAAAATTTGGATTATTGAAAAGAGCTTGGCTTTCTGTTTTCAGAGCTTTTTAAATTTTTGTGCTATCTTTGTTAGTTTAGAAGCAGCGACCGTTTTTGTGAATCAGTTTTCGCCCTGATTTGGCCAAATTTTTGCGCTGCATTTTGTGCCACCAAAACTCGAAATTTTACTTCACAACGCCATAAAATCCTTAATAATAGTTGTATCGTGACCATTGAGGTATCATTTTGTTTGCTGTTTTATGTAGAATCAATATATAATGATATAAATCAAGTAAATT